CGATCGATCTGACGCGATCTAAGAGTGTCTGGAGATCCTGTGCGCTCTCTGCAATTAGGACCGTGTCGTCGGCGTATCGTACATTATTTAGAACTCTGCCGTTAATTTTAACACCTTCTCTTGATTGCTCTAGTGCTCGTGCAAAGATTTCTTCCGAATATATATTGAAAAGTAGTGGTGACAATACACACCCCTGTCGTACACCTCGCTTGATATTGAATATTTCTGTGTCACCGGCTTCTGTTCTAACTGCTGCAGTTTGGTTAAAATACAGCGTTTGGATAATTTTAAAATCGTTCTCGTCTAGTCCCTTTTTGTGAAGGCAATCCATCAGCTTATCATGTTTTACTTTTGTCGAAGGCCTTTTGATAGTCAATAAAACATAAAAAGAGATCCTTTTTTTGGTCTCGACATTTTTGCAGCAGTATAATAAAACTGGTTAATGCTTCCCGTGTCCCAAATCCATTTCGGAAGCCAAATTGTTCATCACTGATATCCTGTTCACATTTCTTATAAATGCGTTGGTGAATAACTTTCAAGAATAACTTTAACATATGCGACATTAAACTAATAAGTCTGAAATCACCACACTTCTTTGCTCCCTTAGTTTTTGGAAGGGAATAAAGACTGATTTTAACAAGTCTTGTGGAATTTCACCGCTTGTATATATTTGATTAAATAATTTGACGATTATATTTAAATGACTTCCGTATGTATGTCATGGGGCAGGGTTTCCATTTTTTGCGTTTTGATTGCTCTCTCTACTTCTTGTTTTAATATAGGAGGACTGGTTTCATGGTTTTTATATATTCTGTTGTTTAGTGGTATGTCCGAGAATAGTTCTTCTATGTAATGTTCCCATACGTTGTTTAGATCGCTTAATTCCCATATCGTTTCATTCTCGTCGTTTGTTAATCTACAAGGGAGTCTTTGTTTTGTCATTCCAGCTAGATCTTTTATTTTTTTGTGAAGCGTTTGACTGTCGTGTTTCTTTATTAATTCTTCGATCTCTTGGCAGTTTTCTATCATCCAATTTTCTTTTGCGGTAGCTATTTCTTTCTTGATTTGACGATGTATCTCCCTATATTTTTCATTATTTTTATTTTTGTAGGTCTTCGATATCCATCATTCCAGAATTTTTTGTATCATCCAGGGTTTAGATTTTCTTTTGTTATTAGTGTCTTTTATATATTTCTCGGCGCTAGTAAAAGCATTCTTGACTTCAGTCCATAAGCCTTCTGTAGTTGGTGATAACTCTCTTTGGAGTCTTTCACATTCCTCGTTGAGTTTAGTCTTTACCATACTTTGTATATTTTCTTGTTTAAGTAAATTGATGTCGGTTTTTCTTTTGACAGTCTTTTTTAGCATTTTGAACTTTATTTTTAATTTAGCCACTAATAGGTTGTGATCCGATGGAACATCTGCGCCTGGGTATGTTCTTGTATCCGTTACTGCATTTTTATATCGCTGGTTTATAATAATGTAATCGATTTGATTTCGGACATAATTGTTTTTATTATCTGCGGGTGATTTCCACGTATCCACGTATTTATAGTGACAATATAGTTATTTTTAATAATACATTTTAATATATTTATAATAGTTTGTTTTATAAAGTACAATATTAACTGTATTCTCACGACTAGTAATTAGGACAATTAACAATTTTAACTAGTTAATTTTTATATTTCTTTGTTATAGATGTCTTGAAAAAGAGAATAAATAAAATTCGAAAGCTTGACAGTAAGTCAAAGAGTTTTCTTTGTCTTGTGGGCCAAATAGACTGACTGCATCCTCAAGAATCATAACATATTTAAATCAACAGTCAAGAATATCACCATCTTATCATATATATATATATATATATATATATATATATATATATATATATATATATATATATATATATAATATATATATATATATATATATATATATATATATATATATATATATATATATAACAAGCGAGTCTTCTACAGCTGGCGGCGCTTCTCGCATCCTAATTTCCAGCGTTTTCGTGAAGCCGAAGCAATCTTCAGTTGTTAGATCTCTGGCGGTCATTGCATCGTCGACATCGTCTCTCCAGGATCGTCTTGGTCTACCTCGTTTTCTTCTAGTTGGCGAAGTACATTTTCTATTTTTTTTGGCCATCTATTTTCAGGCATTCTCTGAAGGTGTCCATACCAGTTAAGTCTTTTGGCTTCGATTGTGTCTATTATGTCTAGATCGATTTCCATTTCTCTCCGAATATCTTCGTTTCTCACCCTATCAAGTCTAGTGAGCTGGCAACATCGTCTTCAGTAGTTCATTTCCATGGCCTTAATTTTTGATTGGTTTCTTTGGTTTATTTCCCAGAGTTCGGCGCCGTACAGCCCAATACTTTCTATTATTGTTTTATAAATTCTTCTTTTATTTTCTTTTGATATTTTTTTATTCCATAATAGTCCGTGTAGCTGTCTGGTGGCTGATCTTGCTTTGCCAATCCTGGAATGTATTTCTTCGCTACTTCCTGCTTTTGATGTTATTTGGACTCCCAAGTATTTCAAATTGTCTGTTGGTTTTATAGTTCCCATTTAGATTTGTAGGCTTTCTGGTTTTTTTCCTACAACTAAGTACTCAGTTTTTTGTATATTAATTGTGAGGCCCCATTTGGTGTACTCATCTTCCAGTTTTCTAAGCATGTAGCCTACATCACTCTCGTCTTCAGCTAGAATGGCTTGGTCGTCAGCGAAGTGTATCGTGTACAATCTATCATCTCCGATTGGGATGCCCATATTGCAGCACTTTCTTCTCCACAGTGAGAGTGCCTCATTTAGATATATTTTGAAGAGTGTAGGTGATATGCAGCAGCCTTGCTTTAGGCTCTTACTTATAGGAATTTCTCTAGTTAATCTATTTCCAGTTTTAATGTTTGCCGTCATATTTTTGTAGAGCTGTTGTACTGCTTGTATATTTTTTTTGCTTATTCCTTGTTTTTCCATTGCTACCCAAAGCATTGAAAGTGGTACACTATCGTATGCCTTTGTCAGATTTAAGTCAGTTGCAATTATATTAAATAAAGTGCTGTTACTCTGTTGTACCTTTAAAAGAGCCTTTTTAAAAAGTACCTTCGGGAGTGACAACCCTTAAGTAGCGCATTCAGTGAATTAGTGGGAGAGTCTCCAGAAGATCCTCGTCGTTTTCAAACGTTCACCCTCTACCGAACCCAAATCCACAGGCAAATTGACACATAAACATATTTAGCATCATCCTATACCTGTAAGGATATTTCATCTTATTTCTAATTCTAATAATATTTCCATTCCAAATAATTCTAATATTGCACCCATTTTTAATGTTAATAAAGACCTTTTAATCGTACCAGAGTACGACGGCAATCCAAATAAACTCCACAATTTTATTAATGTTAATTCCATGCTTCTAAACCATTTCTGGAATCATACAGATCCCCAAAATTTTCAAAATCACATGCTTACCCGAGGGATTATGAACAAAACTAAAGGAAGAGCGAGAGAAATTATTTCTGTATAAAATTTTGCAGACCAACGTAACAAAAACTCGTTAACTAGAGATTTAGTCAAACTCCGTCAAACTCCAAACGAAAACCCGCATCAATTTTATGAAAAAATTACGAGTCTTTAAAATACTATTTCAAATCATATTGAATTACACACAGAAAACGATGAAGTTAAAAAAAGTAAAAAAGAATTTTTCCAATAACAAGCTCTAACCACATTTTTGGCAGGCCCAAGACAACCCCAGGATCAACAATTCGATTCCATGAGTCCACCGAATCTCGCTCTTGCTATGCAATATATTCAGGAAGAAAATATCATTAGATATCTCCAAAAAACTCATAATTATTCCTTATCACCTTCTTATAAAACATCTCGACTTTACAAATACAGAGATCCAATTTAACTCATACACCCGCTCCTACACGATGACAGCTTGAGGTGCCCAAGCCCCAATGGCCACAGCCATTCTTTAAGCCAAATCAAATGCCTTTGCAACAACAGCAAATCAACAATGATCCAAGAGGAACATTTTCCACCCTAAATTCCAACAAAATCATCAAATTACTCCATGTTCACAAAATTCTAGGGCTAATCAACACAATTTTCATAAACCAGTTTTAACTTATTCATATAAACCAACACCTATGATACCTAATATGAGCGTAACTACACGCAAACCGAGTTTAATAGATCCAAATCTCAAAGAAACTTTCGCTTCAACAAACAGCCAGCCCCCGATTCACCGTAGAAGAACTCTTTAATATCGAACAAGAGGAAAATAATTACGATGAAGGTATAGACAATGATACATACCCAGATTACCCTTATTAGGAACAAGAAAGCCAAGAATATGAGGAAGATGTAAATCTTCAAATGTTTCCAGAAGAAAAAGAAAAAACGTAGTAGAATTGCATTCCTATTCTGAAAAAAGAGAGCTTCCTTACATTAAAATTCAATGCCCCCATCTTAAACTTCTTATTGATACAGGAGCCACTAAATATTTCCTTAATCCTGGTATAGCCAATAAATTTTACAAAAATAATATTAAATATGACCCATTTATCGTTACATCAATTTTTCAGAATCATTCACAAGATTATTGTGTAGAAATTCCAATTTTTCCCGAATTTAACTCAGATATTAACTTTAAATTTTAAAATCTCCCATAATAATGTTAACAGCATTTTTCTTTGCGATCTTCATTAGTTTGATCTCTTGGTAGAATTCTCGAATTTCTCTTTCTGGTTTTCTCCTGTAAAAGCATATATTATATATAGTGGTATTAACTTGTAGCATAACTACTCTATCAGATATAAGTATAAAGTTCTTTACACATTAAAAAATTAATAATGAACAAAATTAAAGCTGACAGACCAAAAATGACGATATAGGCGGAGAAAACAAACAACATAAAACGCATAGAACAATGTAGTAAACAATGAAAGATAAAAAAATAATCTAGTTTTGTTTTTATTTGTTAGTACAATTTTGGAAATTTCTGTTAATGTTATTTATTTGACATTTAGTGAAAAGTAATGTTTCTTGTAAATTTAGTGATAAGTTGTAGCGCCCATTCTGGCTGATCTGCTGGTACCATATGACCAGCGTTCCTAACCATAATTTCCGTTAACTTTCCAGCTGTTTTCGCGTATCCAGCAACTACTCGTCTATCGTCATCATCATGCCATACAATTCTTTCTGCCTTTGCGTAATCATCGGAACCTGGAAATTTAAGCTTTTGCAAATAGTTAACAGTCAGAGCATAAGGGATCATGAGATCTGTTTGTCCACTGTAGATTAAAACTCTATAGTATTTCAAAAGTTCTGCGACTTTCCATGCCTCTGATTTAGGGAAGTCTTGTTGAAGGTGTTCGTAAACTTGGTCCGGTTGATTGAAATCAACGTTGCCCACATGAATTGCTTTTCTAACCTCTTCTTTACTGAAAAATTCATTTAAGTCTGTTTCATCTGCCTGACTACGTTTAACTGTCAAATAGTTATATATGTCTACTGCTGTAAATTGTTGTATAGTGTCTATGATATCACTCCATAAATCGTATGCTTCATCATAGTTTTCTGATTGAATTTCTTCTACAACTAAAAAAAAATAAAAGCCGTTAATAATTGCGTCTAAATATCAGTAAAGTATATTGAATTTTAAAGTAGTTTAGTCAAAATTAGCAACTAGCTTAAAGTAATATTAGAAAGAATTTTAACCTATTTCTGCAAGAAAATCCTTTTTTTCTGATTTAAAAAAGAACACAAGGTAACATAAGAACATACACAAGGTAACCTGGACCTCTCCAGATATAAGAACAACGAGGCAGATTAATCACATCTTTATAGATTCAAGGCATGGAACAGACATAATAAACTGCAGAGGTTATAGAGGCGCAAACATAGACTCAGATCATTGCTTAGTGATCTCAACATTAAACTCTAGAATTTTTTTAAACACCAGTAAAGAAATAAAATGGTACAAAAAACGTAATGTGCAAATCTGAGAGATAAGAAAATTGCAGAACGGTAGTCGGAAAACATCACCAATAGGTTAAGATATCAAAATGTAAATTAAGTAGGCCAGACAGATATAGACTCCTACTGGACCAGAATAAAGGAAGACATTGAAGCAGTAGCGAATGACGAAATAGGAACAGAAACTTGTGCCTATAAACATTATTGGCTTAACGATGAATGCAAGAATACAACAAAAGAAAAAAGTGAAACCTACAGAAAGTTGCTTACCCGACAAACTAGAACAACTGTATAGAATTACCAAACAAAGTAGAAAAAAGAATACACAAAAGAAAAAAACAAAAGTACATAAGTAAGAATCAATTTCAATAAATCAATCAAGAATTCAATTAACCCGTTAGCGCCCAGCGTCCTCGTTTGACGATGGCTTGTTATTATTATTATTATTCCAGATTTAGCCATACGGCTCACACTCCCTCTAAGGGGAAAATTCACTCATCCCAGATACCTACGGTATCAAAAGGATTGAGCTCTGGTGGGACTCTTTCCATGTTATCGAGTCCTAGGTGACTTGGTACGTCGGTGTATCTCCCAAAAATTTTCGCACGCATCTGGACGTCGAAAGTAGCACAGATTTCTGCATGATCTTATATAGATGTTCATTTAGACCCAGCTTTTTTATGTTTTCTAGGAGGTTCTTCGGAATGACTCCAGTGGTAGAAAGAATAATAGGTATCGTCTGGGTACTTTCCATTCTCCATTGTCTCCTTATTTGTATTTCCAGATCTCTGTACTTGGCGATCTTTTCGTTGTACTTAACACGCAGATTATTGTTGTTAGGTATCGCCACATCGATTAGAGTTGTTTGTCTTGTTAGTTTATTAACTAGCACGAGATCTGGTCTATTATGTGCTACAGTTTGGTCTGTGAGCACAGTGCGATCCCAGTATAGCTTGTAGTTGTCATTCTCAAGCATACTCTCTGGAACGTATTGATAATATGGGAGATGGTTTGTTTGTAGAAGTCCCAGTTTAATAGCTATCTCTTGATGGAGGATCTTCCCTACTGAGTCATGCCGTTCCTTATATTCAGTTGCAGCAAATGCCTGGCAGCCTCCGGTAAGATGTTGGATCGTTTCTTGGGCTTGGCATCCATATCGGCATTTGTCGTTTTGGACCTGAGGGTCTTTGACAATATATTTCAGGTAATTTTTGGTTGGTATAACCTGATCCTGAATGGCGAGTAATGAACCTTCTGTTTCAGGGAACATCTTTCCTGATGTCAGCCAATAGTTCGACGCTATATTGTCGACATAGTCTTGACTGACCTCATTCGGATGTCGCCCGTGTAGAGGTTTACCCATCCAGATGCGCATTTTTTCGTTCTTAGTAAGATGGTCTATGCGCATTTCTTGTTCCCTCAGTTTGATCGGTGTTGTATCATCTACTGCACAAATCGCGCGATGAAGAGTAGATGTCTCCGCCTGCACCTGAAAATAAGTTCTTAAATTAGTAATCTGTTTTTCTAATTGCTCGCTTATATCAATAAGTCCTCGTCCTCCTAAATACCGCGGTAATGTCGTTCTTTCTACTGCACTTCGAGGATGGTGTTTTTGTGCCTTTGTGAGGTGTGTTCGTACTTTTGTACTTTTTTTTGTATTTTATTATTATCCCAGATTTAGCCATACGGCTCACACTCCCTCTAAGGGGAAAATTCACTCATCCCAGATACCTACGGTATCAAAAGGATTGAGCTCTGGTGGGACTCTTTCCATGTTATCGAGCCCTAGGTGACTTGGTATATTGGAGTATCTCCCAGAAATTTTCGAAATTATTATTATTATTATTATTATTATTACTATTATTTACAATAGATTTGAGCAGGGGTTGCAAAACCCATATGCCCATGTGACTACAATGTTATATAGTGTACAATTAAATTGTTACATTACAGTAGTTACATATTAAGCACTAACTAACTAAATGAATATACAATAACATAGGTAATAGCAAGTGTTTAGTACAAATTAAATGTTCAACTATGGAACAAAAGGTCATCCAGTTTATTTTTGAAAATATTGACAGATGGAGCATCTATGATCTCAGCCGGAAGGCTATTCCATATCGAGAACACTCGATTACAGAGAAAAAATTGTCTGGTTGTTGTTAAAAAAGTTTCCTTTTTAAACTTAAGTTTGTGGCCACGAAGACGATTGTCATTGTCTATTATGAACATATTCCCCAAATTTCCAAAGTTGTATTTTACTATCCGAAACGTAATAATTAAATCGCCTCGAAGTCGACGTTGTTCAAATGTAGTGAGATTGGCCATATTCAGTCTTTCTGTATACGTAGGTCTTGAGCGACCAAAAGACATCCTGGTGCACTGCCGCTGTACGTTTTCGAGAATATTACGATCGCGCACTAATACTGGACACCAAACAGTTCCGCAATATTCCAGAACTGGACGAATGTACAGTTTATACAGATGAATTGAGCTCATAAATGACATTTTCGCAAACGTTTTATTTAGTAGATATAATTTACTGTTAGCTTTTTTAGAAATATGCAAAATGTGTTCCGACCAACTTAGATTGTTATTAATTATAACGCCTAGATCATTATGCGATTTCACTGTTTTTAACACGCGCCCATTAATAGAGTAAGGAAGACACGGATTATTTTTACCCATGTGAAGAACTACACATTTTTCCACATTAAGAGGCAGCATCCAGGTAGAGCACCATTCCGATATGCAATCAAGGTCATCTTGTAGTAACTGGAAATTTACGGAGGGATCGGAAAATAGCTTCGTGTCATCTGCATAGAAAGCATTGTTGCATTTAATATGAAATTGTAGATCACTTGAGTATGCTATGAATAAGAGTGGGCCCAAAACTGATCCTTGCGGTACCCCACTTAAAACCGTTCTCTCAACTGAGAAAGAGTCCCCAACTCTAACACAAAATTTTCTATCTGTTAAATACGCGTCGATCCATTTCAGTAGTTGACCACGGATACCAAGGTGTTCCAATTTATGTAATAGTCTTCGTTTTGGAACTCTATCGAAAGCTTTAGCAAAATCGAGGTATATAATGTCCACCGGGGCTTTTCTGTCTAATGCTCTTGACCATTCATTGACACACCAGAGAAGATTTGTCATTGTAGAACGTCCTTTGACAAAACCATGCTGCTGTTCTGGTATAACCAGTTCATTTTGCAGAAAATCAGAAATTGTCTCGGCAATAATAGTTTCCATTATCTTAGATATTATAGGTGTTAAGCTGATAGGACGATAGTTATTAGGATCCAGTTTGTTCCCTTTTTTAAAGATCGGTGTTACAGATGCGGTTTTCCATATAGGAGGCAAAATATGTGTGGTGAATGATAGGGACATAATCACATATAGTGGATAAGCTAAAGCATCAGAACATTTCTTTAAAAATAAAGAAGATATTAAGTCGAGACCAGGAGACGAATTATTTTTTAGGCTTTGAAGATGATGTTTAACTTTTTCAGGAGTAATGATTATATTTTCAAGAGAAGAAGAAACTCGTGACGAAGTAATATTTGAGAACTGATAATTAGTGGGTTCAGACAGAGAAAACCTTGGAGAAAGTACTGGCGAGAAGTTCGGCATTCTCATAGTTATTTTGGGATATATCCCCATTATCATTTTCCAGTAAAGGTATAGAAACTTTTGTTGTCAACGAAGATCTAATATACTTGTGCAATTTTTTACAGTTATTACTGATGGCTATACTCTCTTCGTAGGCAACACGAGCTTCATGTAAAGATTTCTTTAAATCTCTGGCAAAGTCTCGATGAATTTGTAAATCCTCTATGCGATTTGTACGTCTATATTTGTTCCACAACTTTCTTTTATACTTGATCAGATATATTAATTCCCCATTAATCCAAGGTTTTATGTTATTTTTGTATATGGTTTTTCTGAGGTATTTTGGTTTTTGCATAAATTAACAACCTGTAAGAACTTATCCCAGAATACAACTGGATTCCTTATGTCGCCGAAAACATCATTCCAATCAATATCAGCCAGTTGGCGATTTGCATTTTCAAAATCAATTATTTCATATACCGTTTTATTAACATTAGGATTAGGAGTACAGTACTGTAAGTTAAACTGAATATGAAACGTTATGACTGCATGATCTGAGTTACCTACTGGAGAGCTTATTAAGGGATGTGTTAATAAATGGGGATCATTAGAGAATACCAAGTCCAAAATAGATGGTAAATTATTGATTCTGAAACGAGTCGGCTCCGTTATGAATTGATGTAAATTAGAATTTAGTACAAAATCTGTAAATACGTTTTTGGAAGTTGTTAAGCCACTAGGTGGATCAGTTATAGGCCACGAAATGTCTCTAAAATTAAAGTCTCCAATAACAATTAAATTCTCTAGCCTAGACAGTTCATCAAGTGATGCGATAAGGGACTCATCATCTGCTAATCTAGAATCACCAGGCCGATAAACGCATACTAGGTGAAAAACAAAAGAGTTTTTATGACATATTTTTAAGCCAAGAAGTTCCATATTAGGGACAGTAATATCAAGAGATGTAACAGAGAAATTATTAGTAATTTACTAGAAGACAAGTA